CCTAAGACACTTTCTAAGATGCCTTTAATGAGATCAGAGGTTTCCAAATCACTTAAGAAGATAATCTAGGTAGAGCCTTAGAAAATACCTTGAGCCCTAACCGATTTGGATAGAGTGCCGGCCTGCGGACTGAAAGGTCCCAGGTTCTATTCCGGTCAAGGGCATGTACCTTGGTTTCAGGCACATCCCCAGTAGGAGGTGTGCAAGAGGCAGCTGATCGATGTTTCTCTCTCATCGATGTTTCTAACTCTCTATCCCTCTTCCTCTCCCTTCCTCTCTTAAAAAATCAATAAAATAGCCAAAACCGGTTTGGCTCAGTGGATAGAGCGTTGGCCTGCGGACTGAAGGGTCCCAGGTTTGATTCCGGTCAAGGGCATGTACCTGGGTTGTGGGCACATCCCCAGTGGGAGATGTGCAGGAGGCAGCTGATCGATGTTTCTCTCCCATCGATGTTTCTAACTATCTATCTCTCTCCCTTCCTCTCTGTAAAAAATCAATAAAATATATTTTTTTAAAAAAACAATAAAATATATTTAAAAAAAGAAAAAGAAAATACCTTGAAAGAATGAGGAAGCCCCTCAATACTGTGAACCTTCATGTTTCCCATGTTATACTATTGACTGAAAAATGCAAGGTGCAGCCCTGCCTAGGTAGCTCAGTTGGTTAGAGCATGGGCCAAATGTGCCAAGGTTGCAGGTCCGATTCTAGATCAGAGCACATATAAGAATCAACCAATGAATACATAAAGAAGTAAAACAACAATCCGATATCTTTCTCTTTCTCTCTCTCTCTCTCTCTCTCTCTCTCTCTCTCTCTCTCTCTCTCTTGCTGCTTTCCTCTCTCACTGCCTTTCTCTCTTTAAAATCAATCAATAGCCCTAGCTGGTTTGGCGCGGTGGATAGAGCGTCGGCCTGCAGACTGAAGGTTCCCAGGTTCGATTCCAGTCAAGGGCACATGCCTGGGTTGTGGGCTTGATCCCCAGTGGGGGGCGTGCAGGAGGCAGCCAGTCAATGATTCTCTCTCATCATTGATGTTTCTATCTCTCTTTCCCTCTTCCTTCCTCTCTGAACTCAATAAAAATATATTTTAAAAAAATCAATCAATAAAAATACATTTTAAAAATAATTTAAAAGAAAAATGCAAGCTGCCATTAAGTGGGGTAACACCTACTTTTTGCACAAAAGCACTGTCTAGGAATATATTTAAATGTAGTTGTTTGTCTATGCATAGATTATATCTTAAAAGTCACATAAAAAATTACCAATAGTGGTTACTCCCAGGAACGAAAATGGTGACTAAGAAATCAGGGACAGGAACACAACTTTTCACCGTACACATTCCCTTTTAAACCTTTTGAATTTTGAACCACATGCAAGTGCTACCTTTTTCAAAAGGTAAATTTAAATTTAAGAATATATAATGGGAATTGAACAAGATGCAATGGTTAGGTGATTCAAGGTGAAACGTTTCAGAGATAGGATGCAGCAGAAGAGAAAAGTAAAAAGTTTCTGTCAGACTCCAGAATTCCATGTGGTGCTTCAAAGTCTGAAGTAAATATTCCTCAAGGCCATCAAATTTCTTTCTGTTTAATTCTCTGCTCATTATACAGTTCTCGATTTTTTACGAGCCTCGATATTGAGAAAGGAGTGTCCCAAGAGCGGACACAAGTATTCAGGTCATCAGAGAGGTAGATCCTTTCATGGCAAATAAGATACTGTCTAATTTAAACCAGTCTCTGAAGAGGTCGATAAGGAGTTATTTCAGGCACACTGATAAAACATGGAACCGCAGAGCTAAAGACTACACCATGGGCCAGTCAGACCCCACCAAGGGTCTGTGCAAAAATAGGACCCAGCCTTAACTGGGTAGAGTTACCATTGGCATACCTGGAATTTTCAGTATGTTTGTCCTCTGTTCTACCACTACTGCTTAGATCAGTCCAAAAAACTTACCCTAAAGGTCACAATAACTTGAAGACTTGGGATGGTGAGGAAACCACATCTTTGGGCCTACAGCGAGTCACAGTATTTTTTTTTTTAAGGCAGTGCCAAATCAGCTTCCTTTCCCACACAGGAATCACTGTGCCTTAGAGGTACCAGAAACTGGTGAGTCTTGTGCTCAAGAGATTTAAAAAAATCCAGGACTAACAAAACGCGCACTATATAAGAGAACACATTCTTGTTTCCTACTCTAATGTTTAAATTATGTATCTAAAGATAATAAAATTCTTAAATAAGTATAAAGTTTTAAAAAGGAGACTCATTGCCAAAGAGTTATTTTTGGACACTGCAAAAATACCTGCTCACAGGTCTGCAGTCCAGGGCTACATTACATCATCTAATTTAATATGAATGGATTAGCAATCACTCACTGATTTTTAATTGGATCAAACCATGAATCTTTGAGGACCCAGTTAGCTCTCAATTTTCTAAGATAAGAAAGAACATGAGAAACAGAGATAAGCTCACATCTAAGTCTCATTTTAGCTGACAGTTTTTAAATTCCTCCTCCCACTAAATATACCACAGCTAACAGGCAACGTAACCTATTGATTGCAAATGCCTCTTCTTTCCACCATCTGACAGTTGTTCACATGATCATTATGACAACCAAAATCAGGAAAAAGGAAGAGGAAAATGAGTGAGAGGGAGGGTTTAGACAATTCATAAACTGGGTAAACTGAGGCCTCAACAAATGTCTTATTTAACTGAACTGAAAGATGACTGACATCTTGTCATCTCAATTTTAATACAATGGCCAAGTCACTGAAGCCACCAAGCCAAATTGTTAAACTAATTTGTGAAAAGAAATTGTTTCAGGAACCTGGATTCTACCATCAACAGTAGTTAATAAGGTTTACAAGCCATCATTTACTAGTTCTCATTAAGAATTAACTAATGTTTCATTACCTGATCCCCAGTTAATGCTACTGATAAAGAGCAATGGAAAATTTGGAAAAGTGATGAATCAACCTCTTTCTTCCATATGCTCTATTGGAATATGAGTAAGAATAAGAGTGGTATGATGGGGAAGTGGGGAGTCAATAGGAAAAAAAGGGGGACATCTGTAATACTTCAACAAAAAAGATAAATTTTTTTTAAAACTTCAATAAATAACTGTTTATAAAAATTCCTTTAAAAAAAAGAGTAGTATGACACATGAGGAGTGGGGGTGGTACTAGTCATCAAAATGGCATCTGACTCCCCAAATGTAGCAGGCTCACTCCAGTGGGTTGCTTCACTGTGACTCAAGATCTGTCAACCAAGGACACAAGGGAATTTGAGTAAAATCAAGAGATACACTCCTAAATTTTAAACAGAATCTTCTAATAGATTTAGGACAAAATCTAGCAAGAGTCAACTTTAAGAAATTAACCTACTCAACATAAACTGATTCTAAAGTACTTTTGAAAATGAATTCTTGCTAATGCAAAAATTGAGAAAAGGAGTCTGGGGACCTGCTTTCCTAATGACACATTTATCTATTGGTAGAGGGCACTAAAATAGATTACTAGGTGTCTAGCAGTATCAATGTATCATCTCCCTGTTCTCCTCACATAACCTTATTTTTCTAAAATAAAAGGTAATAAACCCGGCTGGCGTGGTTCAGTGGTTGAGCATCAACTTATGAACCAGGAGGTCACGGTTGGATTCCTGGTCAGGGCACATGCTTGGGTTGATCCCCAGCGGGGAGCTTGCAGGAAGCAGCCAATCACTGTTTTTCTCTCATCATTGATGTTTCTATCTCTCCCTCTCTCTTCCTCTCTGAAATCAATTAAAATATATTTTAAAAATAATTAAAATAAAACAAAAGGTAATGAGTGAAAGCATCAATTATGCATATATTTCCCTTGTCAGTATTGATAAATACAAATGCATTTGAATATTTCTTGTATGCTATATGCCCAATATGTTACATGGCAAATCCACTGCACGATGAACAGAAGTAAATTAACAATAGTTCCCAAAATATAACTATCTTTTTCCCCAACCAAACAAAAAAAATTTTCCCAACTCCTCTAGTTATATTCCAAATTCAGAAAGATAACAAGGAAACAAAATATTTATAGACACTTGTATCTGTAAATTTCGAGTGCAAACATTTCACTAATAACCATGCTTTCCTATCATACTGATTTTTAATTGGATCAAACCATGAATCTTTGAGGACACAGAAAACAAAGACTAAATGACTGTGCCAATTTATAATGACCATATTTCACCTTTAGAAGGGTAATATCACCATGGAAGCAACAAATTCAATGCATCCCTTGCTTTCTTCTCTCCAGCGATTATACGGATCCTACACTAAGGCCACAATCCGCTAGCTTCTGCCACCACATTAGGCCTCAAACGCACTCCGGAGCCAGGGCTAGGCTGTCTAGAAACCCGCACTGTGTCACTGCATAAAGCAGTTTCCCACTGCACACATCCAGGAAGAAAGCCACCTCAGCACTGTCAGATCCCAGCAAGTCGGTACAATGACAGAAGGCACTGCTCACCAAATGGCCGGCAGCAACAATCATCACCTTTAAAAAACCATCTAAGCACTTTTCCTCCCCATCACCACCTCACTTTTCTCCTCTCCCTCCCTCCCTCCCCTCTCCTCGCTGTCACAGTCACACAAACTGCAGTTCATCCCCAGCTTTGCAAGTGGAAGGCTGTAAGCTCTGGGCTGCCTCTGGAATGACAGCCCAGAACTCATTCAAAGCCCTGAAATACAGACACCCTCACCCGCACACACCACGCCACTCCCCCACCTCCATCATCACCCCCCTACCCACCCCTCCGCAACACACACGCACACTCGCCCTCGCAACCTCTCGGCGCTGCAGAACCCCGAGCAGGCTCAGCAGCAAGAGGAGCACGAGGTTACGGTTCAGGATGACTGGGACGGCCGAAGCTCCAGGAACCCCTCCCCACACAACCACCTCCCAGGCGCGGCGCGGACGCTGGAGGACCTCCGCCCGCCGGGGTGGGGGTCGGGGGGAGACGCGCTACCTTTAGACTGGCAGTCCGCACAAAACTTGTTATCCTCCTCCAGCAGCAGGTTGGCCAGGACCGCCTGGTACCGATCCACGTCCTTCACTGACTTGCCCGTCATGGCCAGGGTGCCGGCGGGGGCAGAGGGCTATGCGCCCTCTTCACCCCCAGAAACCTCTGCCTCGGTCCGGAGGTGAGGACTCCCCGTCCCCCGCCCAGGGGCACTTCCTGAGCGGGGCAGGACTCTCTCCACTGCCCCGCGCCCCTCCTCGGGTCAGCCGCGCCCGCCCCCCACTCTGCAGCCCCTCAGCGCTGCGCCCCCTGGCGGGCTGAGGAAGGCAGAGAAAGCTGCCGGACCAGGGGCCCTCGGGCCTCCCGGGTGCCCGGCACAGAAACGACTGCCTGGCCTGCCTGTCTGCGAGCCAAGCGTCCCGGGCCCCCGTTTCCCAGGCAGCTGCCGGCCGCTCCGCCACCACCTCTGCCGTCTACTTCCGGCAGATCTTCCTCTTCACTTCCACCCTGCCCAGCCCGCGCATGCGCCACGCCCCCACCACTTGGTACTGGGCTCTTCCCGGGGCTCCGCCTCTCAGGAACCAATCCGGGCAGACGTGAGGGGCGGAGCTTGGGTGGGGCGGAGGGAGGAGTGGACACGCCCCCAGCATGCCCTTGGAAGGGAATGAATGGAGCCAGGCAGAAAGACTCCCTTTGAAAGAAAAGAGAAACAGCAATGAACTACCCCCCCTCCCCAGTACCTCTTTCATTTAATAAGAGAAAAATCTAGAGATTCTTTACGTCAAAAAGTAAAAAAACACCCCTTGCCTAGCCGGCATGGCTCAGTGGTTGAGCTTCGACCTATGAACCAGGAGGGCACGGTTTGATTCCCCGTCAGGGCACATGCCCGGGTTGCAGGCTCGATCCCCAGTGTGCGGCAGCCAAGCAATGATTCTCTCTCATCATTGATGTTTCTATCTCTCCCTCTCTCTTCCTCTCTGAAGTCAAATAAAAATATATACTTTTTTAAAAAACTTAAAATATTCTCATAGCTGCCTCGGGAGTAGATCTTTATCTTTCCACATAGAGAGATGACTTCATATCTGCAGGCCATTTGGACTAAACCCAATCTGAGTTCATTATGCCTTTCCTCTGGCTCTTCTTGTGGTTCTTCTTAGATGTTTTTGGAGACTTTGAGTGGCCCCTGTGTCTGTGACTAAGGGAATCTGTGAGGTCTTGGACTCCTGCTCTGATGCCTCTCTTGGCGGCAGGGAAGGGCTCCTCCTCTTGGGAGACCTACTCCGCCTTCAGGGAGACCCGCTCCTACTCCTGTAGCGCAGTGTGGGCAACGGGCCTAGTCTCCGTAGCTGGCTTCTCCAGCGGTGATCAGGTGATGGTACTACCCTCTGCAAGTTCTCATCCTCTTCACTGGACTGGACATCATCCATGTCCTCTCCTAGAGCGCTAACCCGAGGCTCCAATTGCTCAGCTTCCTCTAGCAACACAGCGTTTCTGTAGCCGGGGCAGAATGATGTCACATAGACTCTCTCAGCGCAGTAGTTCATCAATGAATTCATCTACGTGCATCAGCTCAAAATCCCCATTTCGGTTCTGGCTTTTAATTTTCCATAGCCGTTGTACAGAGGCTCCATGAACTCGTAGCAATCTATTGCAGTGCCTGTCAGCCTCATGTAAAGTGCTCCCGACATGCGAATGTACTTGAGGTCTTCATTTTTTATAAACTCAACAATGATATCCTTCTCTGGTTGAATCTGAAGCATCTTCAAGGTCAAACACAGAAAGGGAGTTGGCTTTATGTTGCCACCATAGACGCCACCCACAAACTTTAACTCCATGGCTTTATCAACTACAAGTTCAGCCGTCAGGCCAAAGCACTCCTCTTTACAATACTTGGACTCATAGATTCGATCTGAATGATCTCCTTCACCAGATATTGAAGGTTGGTGCAGTGGATGCTGTGGGATCCTTCACCCTGCGGTTCACCATTTTTAGAACCTGGTTCCACTTATCTAGGCGTTCATGGATGTGCCCTGACTGGGGATCGGACCGCAACCTCGGTGTATCTGAATGACGCTCTAACCCACAGAGCTACCGGGCCTGGTTCAGATTGATTGATTTTGTAAGTTTCCTGGTCCCCATTTATCTCATCTTAAAGGCACATACTCCACCCCTCCCTGTCCCCTTTCCCGCGGCGACCCCACTCCCAGGTAAGTAATGTGAAATCCACAACTGAGCTGCCACCAACGTTTCCCCGCCCCCTCCCCCCACAAGCTTGTTGTCTTTGTGCAGAGCCAGGTTTCTCTTAAACCTTTATGTGGTAGAGTTTATCATTCATACACAGCAATCAACATTTACTGAGCACTTACTTTGTGCCAGGCACGATGCTAATCTCTTTACATGAATTATCATAATATAGTCCTCATATCATTGTTAGATACATTCCTGCGCTCCATTATGCCCTGCTTGGGTCTCTTGCCCCTCCCGGCGATTTTCCTGTTATTCTCATTATAGGTTTCATGATTAACAGCCTTCAGTTTCCAGGAAACTGCCTCATCCAGTTTCTAGTGGATTGCCTACACCTGGCCCCCCTGTACCTGGTCTGACCAGTTACTGTGACTGACCTTTACAAGAGACATAAGTATCGCTGACCCCCTGATGCCATTTTGGTCTCAGCCCTTCTGCTAGCAGAGGTAAAAATAAGTTTATAATTCTTTTTTAAAAATATAGTTTTATTGATTTCAGAGAGGAAGGAAGAGGGAGAGAGAGGAGAGAGAATGAAACATCAATGATGAGAGAGAATCATTGATTCGGCTGCCTCCTGCAAGCCCCCTACTGGGGATTGAGCCCACAACCTGAGCATATGCCCTGACCGGGAATCAAACCGTGACCTCCTGGTTTATAGGTTGATGCTCAAACACTGAGCCACACTGGCCAGGCTGAGCTGGTGGGATTTAGATAAGATTTTGGACTTTTAGTTAATACTTGAATGGGCTGGGACTTTTTGAAATGAGGCAAATGTATTTTGCATGCAGGACAGACACAAATATTGGGGGTGGGGACAGAGAAAGGACTGTGGTAGGCAGAATAATAGTCCCCCAAGGATGTCCATCTTCTAGTCCTCTGAACCTGTGAATCTGTTATATTACATGGCAAGTGGGTCTTTGCAGATACAATTAAGGATTTTGAGATGGAGATTTTTATCCTGGATTATGCAAGTGGGACTAATGCAATCACAAGGGTCTTTAAAGGTAGAAAAGGAAAACAGGAGAGAAGCAGAGAGAGATGTGACAATGGAAGAATGGTCAGAGAGATGTAACATTTCTGGCTTTGAAAATGAAAGAAGGGGGTCATGAACCAAGAAATGTGGGAAGCCTCTAGATTCTAGAAGGTGGAAAAGGCTAAGAAACAGGCTCTCCTTGAGAGCATCCAGAAGGGAACACAAGAGACAAGCAAGGGGTAAAACTGAGGCAAAGAGTCAAGTCCAGAGGCAGTTGTAATAATCCAAGCAAAAGAGGATGGTGTCCGAGTCACAGCGGGATGGAGAGAGCCGGGTGGATTAGATAAACATATAGAAGGCATAGTGACTGGAACATGGTGATAATACTTCTGGGGAGGAGAGGGAGGGAAGAGTCAAAGCTGACAACCACATCTTTTTGCTTATGCACTAGGGCAAAGGATGGAACCATTGGCTATGTAATCAACACAGGAAGAACAGGTTTGGAGGCAAGCAGATCATTTCATTTTGGACATATCGAGTGTGTGGTGCCTGTGGACCATCCCACAGAGGCAGTTGGATAGTGGGTTTGAAGCTCTGGGGAAAACATCTAGGTGATATTCAAAGTCAGTGGAGTGGGTTAGGAAGAACATGGGTAATAAAAAGACAAGGACAGGATAGGGCCCTTTGGAGTGAGAAGCACGGGCAGATAAAAGAAACCCACAGAGGAGCATGAGCAGGAACAGCTAGAGATGTGGGAGGAAACCAGGAGAAAATAGCTCGTGGAAGCCAGCATTGCATAGTTTACCAGTGTTACCTCAGAACAGGGGAAGAATCAGATGGAACACATAGGGGCCAGGTGGAACCAGGATCAGGATTGGCCAGTCAGATGAGTTTGGAAGAGCCCTGCTCTAGCTTGGCAAGGAAGCGGACTGGTTGGCTTTTCTGCCCAGGCATGTGAGGGCAGCCAGAGTCCAGGTAGGCAGACCTGCTTAAGACTGGGGCTCAAGGGAGGGGGGTAAGAGATAAACCTAAGAACTTGTATGCATGCATATAAGCATAACCAATGGACATAAGACACTGGGGGGTAGGGGAGGCCAGGGGATTGTCAAGGGTGGGGGGAAAAAAAGGACACATATGTAATACCTTTTGTAATACTTTAAGCAATAAAAAAAAAGAATTTAAAAAAAAGACTGGGGCTCAGCCTAGAACGAGCAGCTGATTCCAAGAAGGGGTTCCAGCTCCTCTCACTGTGCTATGGTTAAGAGTTTCATGCTCCCCCACCCCACCTTGCTCCATGGGACTAACCCTCTTCCCAGCGAGGAAGAGGAAGCATGTCACCTGCCCTGTGTTCTGAACATTTCCCCTGTCCCCTGCCTTTGCTTACAAAGTTCCTTCTACCTAAAATGTTCAAAGCTTGCTGGGCACTTCATGGACATCAAGAGGCATGCTCAAAGAGGTGAAGTGACTTGCCCAGGGTCACACTATTAGTATGTGGTAGAATCAGGGTCCAAGTGTAGCTGAATATAATAGCTGAAATTATAAGTTCCAATTCCCCAGAAGCCATGATCTCTCCCTCGTTGAGTTCCCACAGAGCTTTTGGTCTTTTCTCCCCATTTCATCTCCCTAAGAGTTCCATGAGAAAGGGGCTCTTATTCAATTTGTTCTCATCATGTGCTGCAGACGATGACCACGAGGCGGCACCAGATCCCCAGAAAGCCTGATTTACTGCTGACCAGGAACAGAGGACTTGGTGGGAAACCGAAGAAAACAGGTGGGCTGCCTTTTCTACTTGCCCTCTACGTCCACCCCTCCTTCCTATCAGAGTTAGGGAGAAAGAATCAGCAGATTGGAAGGTTAGAGAATAGAGATCCGAGGGTTGTATACTGGAGTGGCCCAGCCTTCAAGTCAAACAAGATTCTAAGAATTCTCTAAACGGGATAGGACCAGCAAAACAACAGCTGTGGCAAGCTGGTGGCCGGCTCTGCTATCTATTTTTGTGCAGAGCCCAAACTGCACAATATTATGTGTGGTCTTAGTGGAAAAGGAAGGAAATGCACATTACTGGTACCTACCATGAGTCAGAAACAGTGGAAATATGTAATCAATACAGGAAGAACAGGAATGAAAACTGTTTTATTCCCTAAGCCTCAGGCTTGGAGGAAATAATTACACAACCTGCATCTACCAACCTGCTGTGAGGACTTGACAAAATGCACGCAACACACAACTACAATGTCTGTTATGTTGCAAGTGCTCAGTAAGTATTATTATAAATATAATTTAATGATATACATATAG